AGCCCGATGCGGGACTCGATCCCGGGACTCCAGGATCATGACCTGAGCCGAAGGCAGTCGCTTAACCAACTGAGCCACCCAGGCGCCCCTATATGATTTTATTTATATGAAATTCTAGAAAAGGGAATATTAACCTATAGTGACAGGTACCAGATTAGTGATTGCCTGGGGCCATGATGCTCATTGCAGCATTATTCATAATAACAAAAATATGGAAACAACCCAAATGTCCATTAACTGATGCACAGATAAATAAAATGTGGTATATTTTGGTAATAAAAGGAATGAAGTACTGATACATTCTACAATTTGAATGGCCCTTGAAATATTATGCTAAGTGAAAGCAGTTGGACACAAAGGACCCATACATGTTGTATGATCCCATTTTTATATGAACTGTCCAGAATAGGCAAATTTATAGAGACAGAAGGTAGACAAATGGTTGTCTAGGACTGGGAGAAGGGTTGGAGTGAAAAGGGGATGAGGTTCTTCTGGGGATGATGAAAATATTCCAAAATTTGTCGTGGAGATGATTGTACCACTCTGTGAATATACTAAAAACCATGGACTTGTACATTTTATTTTTTTTAATTTTTTTTAAAGATTTTATTTTTAAGTAATCTCTACACCCAACATGGGGCTTGAACTCACAGCCCTGAAATCAAGAGTTGCATGCTCTACTGATTGAGCCAGCCAGGTGCCCTCATTGACTCATACATTTTAAATGGGTGGGTTGTACGGCATGAGAATTATCTCTCAATAAAGCTGATGTCCAAAAAATGGAATTGGAGACAATTGGAAATCCTTTTGGGGAAAAGAGTCAAATTGGATTCTTACCAATACCATTAAAAATATGCATTTTTAAAAAGATTTTATTTATTTATTTGAGAGAGAGTGAGTGAGTGAGTGAGAGAGAGAGCACACAAACCAGAGGGGAGAGGCAGAGGGAGAGGGAGAAGCAAACTCCCCACTGAGCAGGGAGCCCATGTAGGGCTCAATCCCGGGTCCTGGGGATAATGAACTGAGCCAAAGGCAGATGCTTAACCAACTGAGCCACCCAGACGCCCCTGTACATTTTTTTTTAAGTAAACTCTATGACCAACATGGGGCTTGAATTCACTATCCCAGGATCAAAAGTTGCATGCTCTACGGATTGAGCCAGCCTGGTATCCAAAAAATATACATTTCTGATTAATTAAAAACCTGAATATAAAAAAATGCTATGAAATTATTAGAAAAAAAAACTATAGAAAAATGTTTATGACCTAAGGAGTAAGGAAAATCTTGCTGAGGGAGATTCAAATAGAAAAAAAACTTAAGGGCGCCTGGGTGGCTCAGTCGTTAAGCATCTGCCTTCAGCTCGGGTCATGATCCCAGGGTCCTGGGATGGAGCCCCGCATCGGGCTCCCTGCTCTGCGGGAAGCCTGCTTCTCCCTCTCCCACTCCCCCTGCTTGTGTTCCCTCTCTCACTGTGTCTCTCTCTGTCAAATAAATAAATAAAACCTTAAAAAAAAATAAAAGGAAAAAAACCTTAAAAGAGAAGTGATACATTTGACTATGTCACTATTAAAAACTTCTGTAGAACAATAGATACCATAAGTAAGCTAAAGGCAGCAGACTGAGAAAAAATATTTGTAGTATATGTATTAGGAATTAAGACTCATTACGTATAAAGAACTCCTATAGGGGCGCCTGGGTGGCTCAGTTGGTTAAGCGACTGCCTTCGGCTCAGGTCATGATCCTGGAGTCCCTGGATCGAGTCCCGCATCGGGCTCCCTGCTCGGCAGGGAGTCTGCTTCTCCCTCTGCCCCTCCCCCCTCTCGTGTTCTCTCTCTCTCTCAAATAAATAAATAAAATCTTTAAAAAAAAAAAAAAAAAAAAAAGAACTCCTATAGTTAATAAACAAACAAACAAAAAAGAAAATAGGATACCAACAATTTACAAATGGGAAAACACAAATGGCTAATATACATATTAAAACACACTTTTGATCAATTCTCCCAGGAATCAAGGAAATGTAATTTAAAATAAAAAATTTCAGGGGCACCCAGCTGGCTCAGTTGGAAGAACAAGTGTCTCTTGATCTCAGGGTTGTGAATTTGAGCCCCGTGTTGGGTGTAGAGATTATTTAAAAATAAAATCTTTAAAAAAAATTCACCCATTAGATTAGAATTTAAAAGATTGTTAATATTAGGTGTTAGGAGGGATACGAAAAGCTTTCACAAAGTTGAAATGCCTAGTTCTCATAGAGACTGCTGATAGGAATGTAAATTGGCACAGCCATGGGAGGGCAAATGGTAGCACTGACTAAAATTTTAAATGTGTGTATATTATGACCTGGGAGCTCCCTCTCTCAGCATCTACCATAGTGAAGCACTTACAAGTGCACAAACTGGGGGCGCCTGGGTGGCTCAGTTGGTTAAGCATCTGACTTCTGCTCAGGTCATGATCTCAGTGTCCTGGGATGGAGCCCCAGGTGTGGCTCTCCAGTTATAGATCTTCAGGGAGTCTGCTTGTCCCTCTCCTCCTCCCCTCT